TATGTATATATATATATATATATATATATATATATATATATATATATATATATATATGAAACTTTATTACCTCCCTAATCAAGTTTTAACTTAATTATATGGGCATATACAATTTACCAATCAAATTAGTTTTAAATGAGTATCCCTTTATATTATAAATTGAATAGGGAATCTCTATCCCTACGTTTTGTCTCTCTTTCTCTCTCTCCGTCTCTCTCTCTTTCTCTCCTCTGTTCTTTCCCCAATTTTCTTCCTTCGTTTTTCTCTGCTTTTCATCCTTTTTTTCCAAGGACTTCATCAATGAATTTCAATTGTTACAATATAGAGTTTTAACTTAGCAATTCCCTTTCATGTTGCATAATTGGTGTTCGAATTGAAATTGTCAATTAATAAATTTTGAAGGTATTTGATTCTCCACCATTGACAACCATTAAGAAGCTCCGAAACATTAAATTCGAATTTGGATTTTTAAAAACTATTATTTGTTTGGATTGGGTGTTGTTACAAACAATTAAGAACATTCTTTGAATCTTATATCTCAAACTTGAGGTGTCTGGTGAAGATTAGACTTGATTCTGACTGAATTTCATATTGAAACTCGAAGAAGAAAAAGAAGAAAAAGAAGAAGAGCGCATGTCATATAATAGTTACGAAATTGTATTAAAGTTGTATGCAAATTGAATTTAAATTGTATTATGTTGTAGTTATATATATTTTTATTTGAATGTTGTATGAAAGTTGAAAAATAGTTATATAATGTATGAATCATTGTATGAAATTTGTATTTAAGTTATCATTACTCTTTTTTTTACATAAAGTTGTTGATATGTATCAAAATTGTATTAAGAGAGAAAGTTTTGATTGGAATTTCAGAGAGGAAGAAGCACACACCACATACGAAATATATACAAACCAGATACAAAATATACAAAAGACATATTGTATAAAATTTGTATGAAAATTGTACTTAAGTTGTATGATATTGTAGATGTATTTTCCTCCTCTTAGTAGGAGGAAAATATTTTCCAAAAAATTAACGTTTATTACAAATAAATATCTATAATAAGCGTTAATTGCTAACACAATTGAAATAATAAATGACCTGCTTTCACAAGTAAATTAAACAACACTGATAGTAAAAGAAAACCTTAGACCATGAGTGTATTATCTAATATGTTTACATGATTATGATCAGTGTTCCACTATGATAGAAAATGGTGGTTGGATTTTCAGTTGTGTTTGGTGCCTTGTTTGCATTCATGGTCTAGGGAAGAGGCAGTGCTATATATGAGTTGTTATTTCTTTTACGTTTTTCATTTCTTTTGTGTTCAGTTGTCGATCGGTTTCTTTCCTTGTTCAGTAGTGAATGGGAAAGAGGAGAGGAGAGAAAAAATGAAAAGGAAGTAACTGAATCCCCTAATTTAAGACACTAATAATGGATTGTATATAATTTGTAAGTGATTCTTGTTTAGGGCGGGTAGTAATATACAAAACTAGAACAATTTTGATAAATTAAGTTTCAAATATTATATAGGAAGGAAAAAATTAGATTTTTTCAGAAGTTATTAAAATTTAATGGGACATAGAAAAGAGTTAGTAATGTTTGACACCGTTGATCTTATAATATTACTAAGTTTAAGAAAATTAAAATGTATTAGAATGAGATTTTTTCACATAGCCACAAAATTAGAATAATATTTATCTGGTTTAACTAGGACTGAGGACCAAATGTATCAAATGTTTACATACATTAAGGACTATACTTGTCAAAATAGATATACCAAGGATCAAATAAAGCAACCCAAATACATTAAGGACCATGTTGATTATTTTTCGTAAAATATTTACGAGGTACTACAAAATATTTCCCCTGCATAAAAAATTAAAAATAAAATATCAGTTTCACATGGAAAGATCGGTCTCAGTCAGTAGAATTATAGGCCCACATATTACGGTGAAATTAAAAAATAGGCAGATTTACAAGTGGTAATTGAAAAATAGTCACAATTTCAAAAATAATCGAAATTTAGCCACTTTTTATATAAAGATAAATTTGAACGAAAATACTATTCAAAATTCAAAAAATATTCCAGCATAATATACTGGAGTTCAAATTTTTTACATGTAAATTCCAGTATATTATGCTGGAACTCCAGTATATTATGACGGAGTTCCAGTATAAATACACTGGAACTCCATCATAATATACAGGAGTTTCAGCATAATATACTGGTCTAACATAATATGTTGAAAGTTCATACGCATGTGCTCCAATCTCTAGTATATTATAACGGAACTTTTCGTGTTGAAGCAAAATAATGACTATTTTTCAATGACTTTGCAAACGCCGGCTACTTTTCAATTAACAGTCCAAAAACTGGCTAGCCGTTCTATTTTTAACACATTTTAACCGAAGCCCAGTAACGTGGGCCGAAAACCAGTAATGTGTTTGAAAAAGGAAAAGAAGCCCAGGAACCAGTGTCTTCTTTGCGACTCGCCGGAGGTGGCTAGCTACAACCTATACTCGATAGATTTACCGGACTTATAGACTCGCCGCTCCGGCGAGTTTCTTCGCTAATTTGTTGAACCGAAAGTTTTAAGTTATTTAATAGGAAGCATTGTAAACATGCCTAAACTTCTGTAAGTACAATTCCTTAATTATTCAAAACTCATTCAATTGCTTGCTTTTTTCGGATATGTAATTTTATTATATGTTTATTTATACCAGATCGAAAGTCCGTGCGAGTTCGATAGTGCAAACACTTTTAAATGATATTCGAAATGTAAGTTAACTTTTTGCAGTAAAAGCTGATTTTTTTTATTTTTTATTTTTTGTTTATAGTTTTGCTACATTTTGTTGAATTAAATGAAGCTGAATTCTAATAGAGTTTTATTTTGTAGGGAGGGAAGGAAATCGGAGGCTTTAGCCAAGCTATGAGAACTTTCACTACTTCTAGCGGTATAAAATGATAAATCATCAACTTGTTGGTATTTGTGAATGTGAATATCCATATTTATTTGTGACACAAGATTCATGTATCTATGTAGAAATGCAAAAAGGATATGCTTATGATTAGTGTCGGAGCCACTAGAAATGTCATTCCTGGGATTTGAACCTACGACTTAAAACAATCTTTGAACCCCCTTTGTCACTTAACTAGAATTTTTCCTTCTGTCAATGGGATTGAACAGTGTAAATATACCAAAAAAAATTGTTTTTACTCTATTTGCATAGTTTTATTTTTAAACGAAGTGGATTCAATTAAACAACTTAGCTCTGCCCCTGCATACGATATATGTTTATCCTGACTGTTTTTGTGTATCAGATAAAAAAAAATGTCGGCATAGTACTTTACATTAATGAGTACAGCATTTGGTTTCTAGTATAAACACTACCTACATAACCTGAGCAGGAATCAAGTATTATTTCTTTAAAAATAGAATAAGGAATAAGATTACGTGTATTAGCAATAGTACGAAAAACTTTATTCTTGATTAGGGTGTTGCAATCTATGCATAATAGTGCTTGTATTATTATTCATTACATGACAGTTCATGAATTGTTATTCATGGATAACAATCTCCCTATTAACTTGCGTAGTAAACTATCCCTTAGTATTGTAACTTGTTTTTGCGTACAAGTGGTAGGTGTCTTACTCAAATATTAATTTGGTAAGGTCAATTGGAAATGAATGTTGAGGAGAAAAGAGTTAATCTTTTGGTCTTTTGGCTGTTTAGGGCATGTCGAGGAGCCTGTTTCAGGATTAGGGCAAAAACAAATTGTTGATGCACTTGTCTTTGGAGAGAGAAGCAGAGCTGTTAGTCTTCTCTATGAATTTAGTCTTGGAAACAACAAATTGAGCGCCAATGATTTCGCTTCTATCCTGCAAACTTGTGCAAGATTGCCTGATCCATTAGTAAGTATGCAAATAGACGTCCATTTTCCTTTCTTCTCATGTAGCATGTAATGGTTGTGCTAGAGAAAAGTTCTAAGATGAGCACATATTGCAAATTCATAGCCTCTGATAGTTTAAATGGTCAATCAACTATGCTGTATATGCTAGGTTAGATACCCAGACAAAGAATTATTGACATATCCCGTGCCAATTACCTTAAAGTCTCTTACTTCTACTAAGAACAAATAAGCACACTGAAATGTCATTTTGCAATATATTTTTGTCTCGTCTGAACAATAACTTGAATAAGTTTTGTGCTTCTTCCTTCTTCTTCTTTTCGGGCTGTAGTTTGTGATGGAGACTTGGAAGATTATGGAGGAGAAGGAAATCGACATTAGTGCCAAGTGCTATTTTCTTGCCGTTCGAGCACTCTGTAAAGGGGGTTACTTAAAGGAGGTACTAGCATCCTGGTGCTAAAAGATCTTATAGGATAACTGTTAAACTTCAACTCTCAATGGTATTTTTTCTACCTTTCCGAAGATGAATGTTTATGAATTGCCAGAATTTTAATTGGACAACTGACATCTAGGTGCTTGATGGAGGATATTATTATTTATTGCAAGGTGTAGTTGGCGTATCACATTGTCGGTTTATCTGACTTCTTCTTAATATTCTTTTGGAAGTTCACAACTTGCATTATTATTGAGAAATTATACTTGCCTTTCCCTTGCCATGTGTCATTTTATGTGTTTCCATCTGATATCTCTATCGAGACACTTATTTCAATACTTCCCTTTGTAAATTTTTTGTTTCATTAGCTCCATATTAAAGTGTTTTCTTGTTTATTTCATTCAGGCGCTCAGTTTGATGAGTATCATGGAAGAAAACCCAAATAGTTATTCTATGTTGCCTGTTTATAACAACTTCTTGGTGGCTTGTTCTGAAACACATACAGTAGATTATGCTAATGAATGTATGGGTTTGATGGAGCATCAGATGGTGGGAAAGAATGAGATAACATATGCTCAGTTTCTCAAGGTGTGTCTAGAGGTCTTTCAATAGAAATGTTACTGCCCTGTAGTTAAAGTTTAAAATCTTAATCTGTCTTCCAGTTGTCCCTCTTACTATATTCCCAATGAATCATTTCCGTTGATTTCATGCTAATTCTGGTTATAGAACTGATTCATATAAACCCCTGTTTTGATGCTTCTTTTCTGCTTATAACACCTAAAAACCATAGAACTTTGTGTAACAAAAATTTTCATATTCAGCAGTCCCCGTTAAAGAAATCTATTAAACCAATTCTGCACTTAGTCACAGGTAGGTCAACAACCATGCTGTGATATAAAACCAATTATGCATTGGTAATTAAAAGGTGGTACTTCCAGTAGGTTGCGTTCTTCTCCAACTGATTCCTGATGTCTAGCAGAAATCTAATTTGATAGCCAACTGTGAAACTTGTGATTATATGATATGCTGTATAGGAGCTTCTTATTTAGCATCGGCTGGTAACTTAAATATTCTCCAGCAATAATTATTTGGATAATATGGTTTACTTCCTGGTACATTGCCTTCACTAATTTGTATGATCTATATTCTATTAAATGTTATCTCTTGTTCTTGAGAACTGCTTCGGAGATCATTTCTTCGTTGTCTTAACAAGAAGTGAAATGAGAACTTGTGCAATCAGATTTTCCCTCGCCAGGGACAAGGCAAATAAACTATTTACCTCCTTTAATCCACTCCTCCCTCTTCATTCCTACCAAATTAGGTAGTATGCACCATTCAATTAATTATTTCTGTTTCATTTTGTTCTAAATCAGCTTTTTGAATGTTGAATATAGTTCTTAAGACAGCAGTTTAATTGTTTGTCTGAATAAATGTTGTTCTAAGCTCATTGTTTCAGCTTGCAGTTTTGCAGCAAAACCTGTCTGCTGTCCATGAAATCTGGAAGGAATGTAGTAAATATTACAGTCTCAGCGTTATTTCTCTTAGGAAGTTTATATGGTCCTTTGCAGAGCTGAGAGATCTGCAATCAGCCTACACAACCTTACAACACATGGTGAGCTTGGTTATTAGAGAAAACTCTTACATAAGTAGAACTGCTGAAGGAAGGTTTTGTGATTTAAGATTGGATATTCCAGCACCTTCCACTGGCAACCTGAGTTTCATCGATGCATCTCTCAACACAGAGGGTAGCACCAATTTTGACTTGGAAAGGCAAAGTATTGGCAGCATTGAAATAAGCACAGTAAAAAAACCATTAAGTGCATCTGTTACGAAGCTTTTAAGGTGGTCCTTCAATGATGTCATGCATGCTTGTGCAAAAGTTCAAAGCTGTGATTTGGCTGAGCAGTTAATGTTACAGGTATTACTACAATGTCCAGTTGCTATGTCTCCATTTGGTCAATGTGAGTGCAGGGATCAGTAGGATAGTCCTTAGAACCATATGGCTAGGCACATATCATCGTTGAACACAGAAATATGCCAATAACAATTGTCTCAATATCATAAGGGAATTTCCTGTCCGTTTTTCACTAAGTCATCTCTTTTGTTTAGATGCAAACTCTTGGTTTGCAACCATCAGGGAGTACATATGATGGCTTCATTAGGGCAATTGTTATCACAAGAGGCTTTAGTGATGGAGTGGAAGTGGTAAGATATACTTATTATCATAGGAATCTTCTTTAGAACTTCCCTTTCTCCAAGGATAATACTTGCTCGTGGTTTTCTCAGTTTGACATGATGCAGTTTTTCAAATTTTGCAGTTAAAGGTTATGCAAGAGAAAAATATTAAGCCTCATGATTCAACTCTTGCTGTTTTAGCAGTCATCTGCAGCAGAGAGTTACAACTCGATAGGGCAGAGGCTTTCTTGGATGAGATGGCCGAAATCCGAAGTCCTCGTCCTTATAATGCTTTCCTTGAAGCATGTGATGTCCTGGTAAGACAGTACATAATTGTTTCGGAAAGAACACAATATAATTCAAAGCAGTAGATCATCACTGGTCCCATCCTTAGATGAGTACAGTCGGAACTGGTGAGGTTTTTGACTCTCAGTTAAGTAGGTTCGTGGATAGTTCAATAAGACCAATCAGCTTTCTTTTTCTTGCTAGTCAAAACTATCCCTCTGAGCATATTCTTGCTTCTTCACATCTTGATATCACCGCCATATCTTTTGTTTTCTCGGGATTTATAAGGAATATGAGATTTTTGAGCTAGCTTTCAGCAAAAGCGTTTTGTATGTCAAGCTAAAATGTTGCCACTATAACTACCCTCTGACTTAAATGTCTTAGAATTTCAAATATGGATAACGCCCCCTCTTGTTGTACCTAAAGACTAGATATATTGCTTTAGGGTCTTCTAAATTCTGCCATATCCAGCATCACTTTGTTTTTTCAGCATCTTTTCGATAGAATTGCACATCTCTCTTGTCAATTGTATTAGACTGAGATGTCCAGTTTGTGATTCTTTTACAAATTAATATTGTAGGATCAACCTGAACGAGCAGTTCAGATATTGGCTAAGATGAAAAAGTTGAATCTCCAGCCAAATATCAGGACATATGAATTGCTATTCTCACTGTTTGGTAATGTGAATGCACCTTATGAAGAGGGCAACATGCTGTCACAGGTGGATGTTTCTAAAAGGATAAATGCTATAGAAATGGATATGATGAAAAACGGCCTTCAGCACAGTCATCTGTCATTGAAGAATGTGGTAAATGATACTTTTCCTCAACTAAAACAAATTTAGGTTTTGATCTATTTGACTACTGTTTTACTTCCTAAGCTAAGTAGAGATGATCTGAATGAGTAAATCTGCTATGATTTGGGTCACTGAATTTTAAATATTGAAGATGTAATAGTTTGTTTAATCTAATGTCTACTATGCTAATAGTTTATTTATATTTTTATGTGCATTTTCATAATAGTGTTTCTCTACTAAATCTTTTGTTAGATAATCATTACAACATTTCATATAATTGTCAAATATTGTACAGGAATGTGTTTAAATCTTTTTTTAATGAAGTAAGGGGTATTCATTAAAAGCATCCAGTGGATGCAAGCAAAAGATTACAAGAAAGAGATATAGTGTCTGCTCATATACACAAAAAACTCTCTTTTATTTTTTGATGGGGTAAGCCTCACCCTCCTCCAAATCCATCTACCTAGGAGACCAGCAGTGTTTTGTCACCACCCCTCTCCCTTAGTGACTGGAGCCCTGACCTCATGGTTGCGATGGAAGGCCCTTACCACTAGGCTATCTCACCATTTAAATATTAGTTTATTGTATATAGAAGCATGTAATATAACATCTAATGAGTTCACCATTTTCAGATTAAATAATCGGCCAGCGTCTTCTCACTTGAGGTTTGTAAAGTATCTTAAGTGCCACACAATCCTTAAAGTGATTTTAGTGCTGAATTGAGTTATGAAACAGCTCCATACGTTGCAGCTTTTGTTTATGCTTCTACTGCAGATGCTCCATTGTTTTGTGCCCTAATACTAAAAAGACTTAAGTTCCAGTATTATAATGACTGCATGCTTTAGTGCAATATCCATGGATTTTACTCTTCTTTATTTTCCAGTTGAAAGCGCTTGGAACAGAAGGGATGATAAAGGAGCTGATTCAATATTTACATGCTGCGGAGAATCGGTTCTCTCGTTACGACACTTATATGATCACACCTGTCTATAATACAGTTTTGCATTCCCTTGTTGAGGCTAAAGAGGTAATCAACCTAGGATTTCTACTATATAAGCATCTGTCTCATAGTTATATCAGTTACACTGTCTGCTGACTGAGTCTATTTTTTTTCTTTTCAGAGTCAAATGGCAACACAGATATTCAAATCTATGGTGTCTTCTGGAGTTCCACCTGATGCTGCAACATATAACATCATGATTGATTGCTGTAGCATTATTGGATGTTTCAGATCTGCACTTGCCCTGATCTCTATGATGTTACGCAATGGTTTCAATCCTCAAGCAGTGACTTTAACTGGTCTGTTAAAGGTATTTGTTTAGTCTTGTTTAGCTATTCTCACTAATCTGCGGAAGCTGGATCATTAGAAAAATAAAAATAAAAATAAAAAGTAAACTTGCACAAACTTGGCCTAAGCACCTAGCCTTCTTTATTTGGTGAAAAGGACTTTTTATGAAGTGGGCAGTATGTGCTTTCTAGCACTTATCCCGCTAACCTTTTGACTATTTAGAAACTTTGCCAAGAAAATCAATCAAATGATTCACTAAACCTCGTAAACCCAAGTCCACCATAACTAAGTTGTTTGTTTTCTAAAACGCTGCAACAGTTTGGGTTTGTCTGATACTTTATTGAGCTGGAAGGGGCTTTCTTTAAACGAATATATTGGCCATTGGTTGGGACAAAATGCCTTGCCACAACCATCACTTATCTGCCTAAGTG